CGGTCTGGGTCCTGCAGCGAGAGCAAGGTACGACGTCCGCCAAGGGGCGAAAAGGCAGGGGAGGCGAGCGCTCAAGTTCACACAAATGCAGGTGCGCTAGAGCGAAGTGGAACCGCAAACCCTTCAGAGTGGGGGTTCTTTGCAGAACCCCCGTCCGCTGCGATCCTCGCCCCTCCCCATCCTCCCTCCGCCCCGGCCCAGCCGGCGCGCCGCGCTCACCTTTGCCCCTTTCTCCACCACCACCCCCGCAGCCTCGCTCTCCGGGGCCCGGCCCCCTTACGTCGTCCCGGCCGTTTCCCCTTATTTCCCTCTTTCTCTTGGCCCCCGGTTCCGGGTCTGCGGCCCGAAGATCTCGCCTTCTCAACCCCGACCCAGCCACCGCCCGCCCCTAAAGCCCCACTGAAGAGCTCGGTCGTCCCTGATGTCCAGGTGTGGCTGCGGAGGCCAAGCCGGGCTCTGTCTTAGGGGACCAGGAGCCCACCTCACGCGGATCCCCGCGTTCCCTCCACCTGGCCAAGCAATCCCCGCCCCTCCCCGCGCTCCAGGAAGCGCTAGAAGAGGAGCTGTAGTGGGTGGGGGCCAAGATCGCAAAGGTCCGAGAACCCAGCGGCCCAGCAACCCGCTCCCCTGCCCTGTCCTCGCTCAGGTACGGCGGCGCTGCCTTTGGGAAATGAAAATGACCACGGATACCCTTAGATGCGTCCTCCGCCCCAGGAACGCTCAGCTTCCTCTTCCCTCCCTCCCAATCCAGCTCGAGCTGGCGGCCCGACGGGGGTTTGAGCTAGGGCCCCGGACCCTCGCAAACCCGCCTCCAGCCCCGAGACGCTATCGGCTGAAACTCCGGAGGGACTCTGAACCGCAAAGCCCCGTGGGGGAAGGGAGGGAGACGCGCCCGCTTGGAGCCAGGGGAGGGGTCTCTGGGAAGGGCGTCCGAACTCTCCGCCCCCTCGGGGAAGCTGTTGCATCAGCTTCGAAAGCCAAATTAAAGAAAGTGGTCTCCACCGGGCCAGGAAGCTGTCGTGCAGTAGAGCCGCCGCCAGGAGGCAGCACTTAACCAAAAATGTCCAGGCTGAGGGTGCCCGGGAGGCTGGAGTCCCCAAAGCACCTTCCATCTGAAGAATCTTAGTGGCAGCTTGGGCCCAACAAAAGAGAGCGTTGCTGAGCTAATTCAAAAGGGATCTGGAAATGTTTCACCACATTTTAAAACTAAAAGAAGATGACTGAACTATTATGCTGTACACCAGAAATTGACACATTGTAAACTGACTATACTTCAATTTAAAAAAAACTAAAAGATGATTTGTAATACAATTTCCTTTTGTATACCTTATGAACAGTCCACCTTTGGCATCTTTTAAAGCCACTCTGCAGAGATTCACAAAGAACCACCCACCTTCAAGACCAGTCTGGTGGAAAGGCACACAGTTTAAGAGACTTCCCAGCTGCCAGACAAGAAAAGAGTATAGCCTGAGGTCATAATTTACCCATCTTGAAGCTGGGTCATTTAACACAGAATTTAACCTGTACTGATTGAGCAGGGATTTGACAGCCATGGGAAAAGAAAAGGAATATGTTACAATAAATGATGCAAGTAATAAGGAAATAATATCCAAAGCAATGTATCGTGTGAGTGGGTGGTTTATAGTGGTCAGTTCCCACAGTTCTTGCATGGAGTGACAGTGATTTGAGGTGACAGTCACTTGATCAGTGAGCTATCCTAAGGTGGAAAGTAATGAAGGAATGTGAAAGAAGACACTTCCCAAATAGTTTGCTCTTCTTCAGTCTTAAAGTTTATTCAAAATATGCAAAAAGGGGGAAAGGTTGCAAAATGAGGTAGAATTAGCTACCCAGAGTCAGTTTCACTAACGTTGTTTCTCCAACCTCATCATTATTCACCACAACAGTTTAAAAAGCATAAATTTCCCAGTGCACTTGTACAAAAATTACTATATACAGACCTAACAGAAGGGTATTTGAATAAATATGTTGGACCCAAACATGAGTGACTAACAAAACGTTAAAGCCAAATACAGGCCACGATGCCCTTGAGAGGCAAAAGAGTTTAAGTAAGAGGGAAAAGACATGAAGCTCAGATTCCTGATGCTTCCCACCGTTCTTAACTCCAGCCTTTGCCAGATGCAGTCCAGAGATTGAAAGACATTTAGTTAGGAGATTATGAGGCCACTTTCCTGTGGCTCAGAATCTGATGAAGTCATTGAGGAGGGCTGTCCAAGTGCCAGACCCCCTCCCCCACAACAGTGTTCCATGAGGTCCCTGAGAATGCTGATGATGTTAGCTGTCAGCACTAGTGTTCTCTTTCTCTCTCCCTCTCAAAACCCTAACCCGTATTTCCTGCTATTTACGACCCTTGGATTGTCCCCCTGCCACATCACTCTAACCACGTCAAAGGCTGAACTTGTCTTCCTTCCAAAGACCTTTCCCCTCCCAGATTTCCCAGTGTTCCAGATCAAGCTTCCCATCCTGCCTCAAAGTCCCCCAGCTCTGGCTCCTTGACTCCCACAGCTATTAAATTAGTGCATGTGTTCACTTCTGCGTGTGGAGTTCACATTGTCCACATAACTAGTTCACCTTAATGCAAGTGGCCTTTTTTATGATTTTGCTCCCACAGTGTGTGAGCTACTAGAAGACAGGAGAGTTGCTGGCTTAACTCCTCTATGTAGTGGTGGTGGTAGTGCCAGCCTGTCATCTTTGCTGTCAATCTTGAATGTTGACAATGAGGTTATTTTTCCAGCCCTTGGCTTTTACTTCTTGATCCTCCAACTGTAAATTATGTAACGGGATTGCAGTGCTGTCTACTTTAGCTGTCTATCTCAGAACCAGCCAAAGGCACACGGACCCTCCCTTGGGAAAAGTGTCACTCAGTTGTTATTGCAACTGTAAAGTAATAAATCCACAGCTATATTTTGATTCAATGTCCTGATCTCTGAAAACTGCAAGCAATCTGTACAGTGATTGCTTCCTGGACTGTCTTACCTACTTTACAGGTTTATTATGAAAATGTATACAGAAGTGTTTTGTATCATTTATACAGAAGTGTTTTGATAAGTGGAAATTAAGTGTACAAGTGTAAAATGGTAATAGTACTCTTTCGGTCTTACTTCCCTTGCTTAGTTTTTTGGGTCCATCTGTTGGCTTATAGCCAAGACTCTTATTCTCATCCCTTCTTCTATTTCAGCCCTTGCCTGTACCATTCTTATTGTTTTCGAAACAGCTGCTTTTACTTCTTAAACCAGGATCCACCCTTCCCCTCTTTCAAAGCACAGCTCAGAGCCACCTCCTGTGGAAAAACTTGCCGAAGGAAATGATAAACTTCCAGATAGGCCATTACACCCCTCCCTCAGGTTCCCCCAGTCAGCATATGTTTAAGTGTCTAGCCTGGCACACAGTAATGGCTACTTTTGTAGGAGCTTCATATAAAACACTTTCACTTACCTTATCATTCTTGAAATGTTTTCATAAATGTGATATACTAAGCTTTTTTTTTAATGAAGAAATT